CACTAAACCCAAACCGAGCCGATAGCAATTCGGGTAGTTTTAAAATCAATTTAAGTACAGGTGCTTGGGCAGATTTTGCCATTGATGTAAGCGGTGGTGATTTAGTTGCGCTAGTGGCATATCTTGACGGTGTTTCACAATTTGAGGCGGCCAAGCTTTTAGGGGCATTTCTAGGCATTGAGTACCAAAAAAACGACCCACAGAAACGCGCTACAAGCTCACAAAACAAGGCGGCCAATACTACGACCCCAACCCCAAAAGATTTAAGCGAGTGGCTGCCACTGTTACCCGTGCCAATAGATGCACCCGCCCCACCCTTAGCGCATTTTAAGCATGGCAAGCCGTCTATGCAGTGGGCATATCAATTACCTGGTGGAGTGGCTTGTTATGTGTACCGATTTGAAGCAAAGACCGCTAGTGAGCGTAAACAGTTTGCACCGCTTACTTATTGTGAGCATGCCACTAGCAAAAACCGTGAATGGCGCTGGCAAGGTTTACCAGAGCCGAGGCCACTTTATAACCTAGATAAAATTATCAGTAATGCTAGTGGGCTAGTGGTGGTTTGCGAGGGTGAAAAGGCAGCGGATGCAGCGGCGATATTGTTACCTGATGCAGTTATAACCACCATGCTAAACGGTGCGCAAAGCCCTAATAAAACAGACTGGCAACCATTAAGTGGGCGTGATGTTTGGCTATGGCCAGATAATGACGAAGCAGGCCAAAAGTGTATGGCGGCTATACGCAATTTATTAAAGGTTGCGGGGGCTGCCAGTGTTAAAACGATCAACTTAAAAGCCTTTGATAGCTTGCCAGTTAAAGGCGATGCGGCTGACTTATTAGCGGCTGGTTTTACTCAAGAGGCCATGCTTGAATTAAGTCAAAAGCCTGATTTTTTCGCAGTTGATAAGCCCACTAGCAATGAAAGCAATACAGAAAGCCGTTTCAACTTGAATGATGGAGGCTTGTATTACTTTGGTAAAAATGACGCTGGCAATGATGCACCTCCGCTATGGATATGCTCAAAGCTAGAAGTCACAGCCGTTACCCGTGACGCTAAAAATGAAGCATGGGGGCGCTTGCTTGAGTTCGATGACTTAGACGGTGTGCATCATTCATGGGCAATGCCTATGGATTTACTGCGTGGTGATGGTGCGGAATATCGAGGGGCTTTGCTTTCAATGGGCTTGCAAATATCCACCATGACTAAAGCCCGTAACCTATTAACGCAACATATACAGACGGCTAAAGTTGAAGCACGGGCAAGGTGTGTAGAGCGTACAGGCTGGCATGATGGCAGCTTTGTAATGCCCAATAAAACAGTAGGTACCAACCAACAAGAAAAAATCATTTTTCAATCAGCAGTCAATACACAAAGTACCTTTAAGCAAAAAGGCACTTTGGCAAGCTGGCAAGATAGTGTATCTAAACCATGTGCAGGTAACTCTAGGCTAGTGTTTGCCATTAGTGCTGCCTTTGCTAGCCCGTTGCTAGATGTGACAGGCATGGAGAGCGGGGGCGTGCATTTTAGAGGTGATTCTAGCACGGGTAAAACCACTGCTTTGCGGGTGGCTTCATCGGTATGGGGTGGGCTTGATTATCTGCAAAGGTGGCGTGCTACTGATAACGGCTTAGAAAGCTTGGCAGCGCAACACTCCGACTGCTTGCTAGTGCTTGACGAGCTGTCACAGGTTGACCCAAAGGCAGCGGGGGAAGTTGCCTATATGCTGGCTAATGGGAGTGGCAAAGTGCGAAGCATACGCACGGGTGCAATGCGTGATACTGCCACATGGCGATTATTGTTTTTATCAAGTGGTGAAGCCGGCTTAACTGAGCACATGGCGCTAGCAGGGCGCAAGCCTAAAGCAGGGCAAGAGATTAGACTGCTAGATATACCTGCTGATGCTGGCCGCGGCTTTGGTATTTTTGACACCTTACATGATCACATAGGGGGTGCAGCATTTAGTAAGGCTTTAAATGATGCCGTAGGCAGGCATTACGGGGTGGCCTCAATCGCCTATTTGTCAAAGCTGGTAGATAACTTAGACAAAATACCTGGGCACGTTAAAAAGCGGCAAAAAGAGTTTTTAGAAAAGCACCTTAAAACTGATGCAGGCGGCCAAGCTTATAGGGCAGCTCTACGCTTTGCCTTAATAGCCGCTGCTGGTGAAATAGCCACGTTTTGGGGCGTTACTGGCTGGGCTAGTGGTGAAGCTATCAAGGCTGCTGATACTTGCTTTAAGGCATGGCTTATGCAGCGTGGCGGGACTGGCAATGCTGAAGAGCGTGCAATGCTTGCCCAGGTGCAGCGCTTCTTTGAATTGCACGGTGAAAGCCGCTTTAGTGACTGGGAGCGGCCAGCTAGTGACACTTCACAGCATGCCCCTAAAACCCTAAATAAAGCAGGCTATCGTAAGCACTTTGATGCTAAAGATGCAGACGGCCAGCCAGTTTATACAGGTGAAAACTATGCAGACGGTGACGAAAAGAAAGCCCGTGATACTGAGTTCTATGTATATCCTGAAACGTTTAGAGCTGAAATTTGTGCGGGCTATGACTATAAGGTGATACAGAAGCTACTTGATAAGCATGGTGCACTTATAAGGCCAAATTCAAGCAAAGCTTATACAAGAAGTGAGAGGCTGCCAGCCGAGGGCATGCAAAACATATACAAGCTTAATAGTAAGGTGTTTGGATTATTAGCAGAAAATGATGCAGATTAGTGGATTGTATAGGACTGTTTAACACTATTCGTCTTAACTGTATTAAATCGCATTAAAAAGGTTAATGCAGCTAGAAGCCAGTAAATACGCCATGTCTTAACCGTATTGGCTGTCTTAACTCAATAAATGCATAACTGAAAGTAAATCGGTGGGTGAATGGGTTTCACAAAGGCCACCAGCGCGATAAAATCGGCGGGTTAACGTTGTGTTTCAGTGCATCACTTTTACGTTAAATTGGTTGTGATGCTGGTGCTGATGTTATGCATGCGGTGTGTAAATGTAGCTTAGAATTTTTGTGGGTCCTTCCTGCATTTTTAATATCTGCGGGTAATTCAAGCCCCGAATTAAAACTAGTGTGTCATACAGTCTTGGGGTAGTCACTTGGGTGGTCACTAGGTGGGGGGGTGGTCAAAAGTCTGGGACAATTCGACCCTAGACCGTATGCCTAGACACATTTTTATGGGCGGGAGTTATTGGGGGGGGAGGGGTCAAGCTATTGGCTGCATGCTATCTTAATTAAATTGGATGAGTTGATTAAAAACGACTAGTATATTTTGTTGATTCGCTGGGGCGCTATCACTATCAACTTAAAGCGGCATTTTGATACACATATATAAAACAGCTTGGTTATTGACAATAATTGCTGCATAAAATAACATATTGCGCAAATTTGTGTTTTAGTAAGTTATTGATTTTATTGAGTTTCCCACAAATAAAAAATAGCTATTTTACATAATGTCCGTTATACGAAACAAAATTCATATATTTAACTATTTCCCACTTTTAGTTAAATTTAGTACACTTTATAGCATTCATTTCCCACTTTGTCTTTAACGATTGTTTTACTATTGTTAAACTTGCTTTAACGCTTCTAGCGTGTTACCTTTAGCGTGTGCTAATTATTGATACTGAGGTGTGTTATGACTGCTGATGAATTTAGAGAGGGGCTTGCCACACTGGGCTGGAAGCAAACCGATTTTGCCATGGCAACGGGTTTAAGTAAGGTGGCTGTTTCACACTGGCTAACTGGTACCGCCCCGCTCCCCTTATGGGCGCAATCGCATTTAAGTCTGTTGCTTAAGCTGCATGACCTCGCTGGTGATCTACTCACACCACCTACTAAAGCTAAAAAATTATCCTAGTTATGCTTATTAAATAGTGTTATTTAAGTACTTAATATTTATGTCGTAACTGATTTATTAAGAGTACTTTATTGAGCAAATGAAACTCTTTCATAATAATTCTGTCGCATTAGTGCTGTAAATTACCTTTTAATTTAAACGTTAGGCATACAGAGCTATTGTGTTTATTTTGTTTTCGTATAAACTTTTACCATGCTTAAGTCAATTTCAACGACATTAGGCATTTTTTTACAGTAGATGTATATGACTGTAAACTACTTTAGAGGCTAATAAATTACTTTATTAGAATAAATATGACTAAGATTATCAAGATGGTAGCAAATGGTTATGCTGTTATCGCTGATTCATACGTCACACCAAGAGACTATACGTTGCCTTCGAATGGCGGCTTTGCTTCAGATCAATTTAAGCTCCGTGGTGATGTTGCCATGGTTGGCGTGGACATGAGGAAGGCTATAGATAAGCATGGGAAATCAAACCGTAGTACGGGCGGGAAATAAAGAAGGCGAGCACTTATCTGTTCAACATACTTCGACAGATAGCCCATTATTACCCGCAGCAAATATCCGTGAACTTCAAAGTATTGACCCTACACTAGTGCCTTTTGTAATTGAACAAACAGCGTTAGAAGCTAGTTTCAGGCGTGATGAAACTAAGCGTGTCAATACGTTGGTATTTATCGAAAGAATATCAGGTGTTGTTTTTGGCGCAATTATAGCCATTGTTGTTTTCACATTTGGTTTTTTTGCAATTATGAATGGGCATGACACGGCTGGTGTTACACTTTGCGGGGTGGCTTTAGCATCAATAGTTAGTATATTTGTTACAAAAAAAGTAACAGAAAAAAATGAAAATGACGAACCAAAGCCTGTCCAGCGGCAAAGCAAATCTAAAAGGCGTTAAATAAGAGCCCGCTAAAGCGGGTTTTTTTATAATGAAAAATCAATCGTACATATTAAAAGTTTAATCTATTGCAGATAATAGCAGCTCCCTTATGTACAATTACACATCAATACTTAACTATTATTTAGTGGGGATCCAGAGCGTTAAGTATAGTTAAGCAAAATTTAATCCGTATAAAAATCCGTATAAAAATTAACACGGTTTTTTAACGATGCAGTAAATAAGAGGGTTACAGGGCGTTTATCGATTCCCGTCACCCGCTCCACACATTGAAAATTGAAAATATGGCAAACCCATCACCACCTTGCGTTTTAACTTTTGCGGGCACAGACCCTAGCAGCGGCGCTGGTTTGCAGGCAGATATTCTGACTTTTGCCAGCATCGGCTGCCACCCGCTTTCGGTTGTGACTGCTATTACCGCGCAAGATACCGTAGGGGTTGAAGGCGTGCTGGCGATGGATGCCGAGTGGGTGAATGACCAAGCACGTGCTATTTTAGAAGATGTGCAAATCTCTGCTTTTAAGTTGGGTCTGCTAGGCTCGGTAGAAAATATTGCGGTGATAGCCGAAATTATGGCTGATTACCCCGATGTGCCTTTGCTGATTGACCCCACATTAACTTCAGGGCGCGGTGATGATTTAAGCAATGATGAAATGATGGAAGCGATGACAACGTTGCTCTTTCCGCAAGCTACCTTGATTACTCCAAACAGCCTTGAGGCGCGCCGCTTAGCCTTTGCAGATAGTGATAATGAAATTGCCCACACATCGCTAGATGAAAGCGCAGCACGCCTGTTAGCCATGGGGAGTGAGTACGTACTTATTACTGGCACGCACGAGCGCACTTTAGAAGTGACCAACACGCTTTATGGTGAAAATCAGCTGATTAAATCTTACCAGTGGGAGCGCTTGGTGGGTAGCTATCACGGCTCAGGTTGCACGCTCACCAGTGCAATTGCCGCCTGTTTAGCGCACGGATTGACTATGGAAGAAGCGGTAGCAGAAGCACAAGAGTTTACTTGGCAAACACTTAAAAATGGCTTTAGGCCAGGCATGGGGCAATATATTCCAGACCGCTTTTTTTGGGCGAGAGATGAAGAAGAAATGGAAGTAAAAAGTGGTGAAAAAAGTAAAGTACATTAAGCAAATTTTATCTAAAAAAATCACAACATCATTGAACCGCCTCTGCAAGCCAGTATCCATGAGGCTTACAGAGGCATAAAAATCTCTCGGGCGATATTTTCAATCAATTATCAATGCAAAAAACTCTAAAGTGAACGCAAAATTCAGACAAAAAATCTCTGGTTTATATGCCATCACGCCAGATATTGAAAACACCAATTTATTGCTTGCAAAAGTAGAAGCGGCATTACAAGGTGGCGCCAACGTTTTGCAATATCGCAATAAACTTGCCAGCCATAAACTCAAAACCCAACAAGCCCGCGCACTGTTGCCATTGTGCAGGCAATACAACGTGCCTTTGATTATTAACGACTCTGTCAAACTATGCTTAACATTAGATGCAGACGGCGTGCATTTAGGTGCTGACGATGGTAACTTGGCTGAAGTAAGAGCAAGAATTGGCGATGATAAAATTTTAGGTGCATCATGCTATAACCGCTTTGATTTAGCATTAAGCGCCCAGCAAGCAGGGGTTGATTACGTAGCTTTTGGTGCATGTTTTGCATCTGGCACCAAGCCAAATGCCGTGGTGGCAAGCTTAAATTTATTTAGACAAGCGCAAACCCAATTAGCCGTGCCAACGGTAGCCATTGGCGGCATTACGCTAGAAAATGCCAGCCAAGTAATACAAGCGGGTGCATGCGCCATTGCCGTGATTAACGCACTTTTTGCGACAGTGGATGTAAAAACCACCTCAGAAAAATTTACGCAATTATTTGGGTAAGCCAGCTAACAAGCTTAATCTATCAGCTCAAACATTCTGCCACTAAAGCATTTACTTGTTGCTCAGGTAACACGCCCAAAAGCTTTACACCGCCTTTTAAGTTAATCTTTTTCATTCCCTCACGAAATAAATTTCGCTCAAACAGCTCCTTATATGAGTGTTAGGTTTCATGCAGTACTTTCAGAATTGCCGCGATTCATAGAATACCGTTACAATCTTAGAAGCCGCTGAGCAAACTACTCCATAAACAAACTTATATTCGGGTCGTTAAAAATGTCTAGTAACAAGCATAAAAATTATGAGATTCTCAACCTTATTGGTTATGGTTTGGCCAAGTTTAATAACGATTTTGTGAGAGAATTTGGAGCAAAATCCAAATCAGAATTTTATGAAATTTTTGTGGTAAATGGCATTGTTGAAAGAGCTAGTACGGTTAAAAACCGTCAAGATTTATTTGACCCATTTTTCGATAATGGTAGAAAAGGTTGGTGGCAAAAGGGTGATGCTTACATTCACAGAAAAGTATTTATTGATAGTTTATTTGGCACTCTAAATGCTGTGGATTATGCCGCTGTAGTAAAGTTGTATTTACTCAATGAAGGCAAAGAAAGCGGCTTGGAAACTGGTGTAATTCCACCAATTATTAAAAGTAAATTTAAGCAATTAAAAACCACAGGCGAAGAAGCTGAAATTTACTTTTTGAACAATTACAATAAAATCCCTGATTTCAGAGAAGCGGCTATTGAAGATGCTAGAAATTATGGTGATGGCTATGATTTCCAAATTCAGAAAACTGATTCTTTTTTATTGGCTGAAATTAAAGGGGTAAGAGCTAAAAGAGGTGCTTTCAGATTAACCGAGAGTGAGTACTTTAAAGCAAAAGAATATAGAAGTGACTATGGTATTGTGGTTGTGAGCAATTTGGATGATTTGCCAATAATGACGGTCATTTTTGACCCTATTCAAAGGCTTGAATTAACTGAACGTTCTATTGAAACCAAGCAGCAAACATACCATTCACAGTCATTGGAATGGGCAAATTTACAATTTGTCTAGACACTCCATTTCATCTAGAAAAGCCATGTGAAATCCCTATTCTATAAGGGCTTTAAAAGCATCTGGAATAGGGCCGTTGTTTATTTGTTAAATATGATGACCGCTTTTCATTCAGCTCAATATCTTGAAATATAGATGGCTATTTTAAGTTCAAGCCTCACTTAAAAAACCTAGCAAAAACCTGATTATTTTTTAAGCAAATCAGCACAACATCATTTCACCTCCTCTGCAAGCCAGTCTGCAAGCGGCTTACAGAGGCATAAAAATCTCTCGGCGGTTATAGGCTGTGGATAACTATGCATTTTTAAGCATTAAAAATGCGTAATAAACTGACGGGGCAATTTTTTGCTGCTAGTCATTTTTATGTGGGCGTTAAAGCAGGTTTTTTGTATGCCAAAGTGTGTGCAAAGTAGGCTAATTTTAGCGCTATGCGCGCTTGCCATCTGCTAAAATGTGTTTTTGTTTTTTTATAAGCTAAACACCATGACCTCACAAAACCAAACCCTTTTTGAAAAATCTTTAGCATTGATTCCTGGGGGTGTTAATTCGCCCGTGCGCGCTTTTAGAAGCGTGGGCGGCACGCCAATTTTCTTTAAAAAAGGCTTGGGTTCTAAGCTGTGGGATGTAGATGGCAAAGAATATATTGACTACATTAACTCGTGGGGGCCGATGATTGTGGGTCATGCGCACCCAAAAGTGATTAAAGCGGTGCAAGAAGTGGCGGCCAATAGTTTGTCTTTTGGCGCGCCAACTGGTTTAGAGCTTGAAATGGCCGAATTGATTAATAAGCTAGTGCCAAGCATGGAACAAGTGCGTTTGGTCAGTAGCGGCACAGAGGCAACCATGAGTGCGATTCGCGTGGCGCGCGGTTTTACTGGGCGTAGTAAATTTGTAAAGTTTGAAGGCTGCTACCATGGGCATTCTGATGCTTTATTGGTAAAAGCGGGCTCTGGTTTGCTAACATTTAGTGATGAAAAATCAAAAGGTGTGCCAAGCTCTGCCGGTGTTCCAGCAGAAGTGGCCGCTCACACTTTAACGCTAGAATATAATAATGTGCAACAGCTTAAAGACTTATTTGCCAACATGGGCGATGAATTAGCTTGTGTGATTATTGAGCCAGTAGTAGGCAATATGAATTTAATTGTGCCTACACTAGAATTTTTACAAACTTTGCGTGAGTTATGCACCAAACACGGCACGGTGCTGATTTTTGATGAGGTGATGACAGGTTTTCGTGTGGCATTAGGTGGCGCGCAAGCTTTGTATAACATCAAACCAGATATGACGACACTGGGCAAAGTGATTGGTGGTGGTATGCCTGTGGGCGCCTTTGGTGGGCGTAAAGAAATTATGAGCTGCCTTGCCCCAGTGGGCGCGGTTTATCAAGCAGGCACACTTTCAGGCAACCCAGTGGCAGTCACGGCGGGTTTAGAAACGCTCAAGATTATTCAAGAAAACGGCTTTCACGATAAACTCACCGCGCAAACTAAAAAATTAGTAGATGCGCTAGTGCAAGCTGCTAAAGAAGCAGGTGTGACTTTTAGCGCACAAAGTGTGGGCGGTATGTTTGGTTTGTATTTTTGCGAAAAATGCCCAAGCAGCTATGATGAAGTGATGAAATCTAACAAAGAGCAGTTCAATCAATTTTTTCACAGCATGTTAGATAGCGGCATTTATTTAGGCCCTTCAGCGTTTGAGGCAGGCTTTGTTTCTGCCGCACATAGCGATGATGACATTGCAAAAACAATTTTAGCGGCAAAAAAAGCATTTTCAGCCATCAAAAAGTGATTTTTTCTTGGCTATGTGATTGATAGCAAGGGTGTTTAACGGTAAAATGGAAAGTTCCGCTGAATGTTTTGGCTACATATTTGATAGTGAATGAAAACGCAATGAATAAAATGGTTGAGAATGTACAAGAGTTTGTAAACCCTCTGCTAAATCAGGCGCCGAAAAATCAAGGTTTATACGATAAACGCCACGAGAAAGATAGCTGTGGTGTGGGCTTTGTGGCGCATATTAAGGGCAAAAAAAGCCATGAAATTGTTAGCCAAGGCTTAACGCTTCTTAAAAACTTAACCCACCGTGGCGCCACTGGCTATGACCCAAAATTGGGCGATGGTGCTGGTTTGCTCATGCAAATGCCTGATGCGTTTATGCGTAAAGAGGCGGCAAAATTAAATATCACTTTGCCTGAGGCTGGCCAGTATGCGGTTGGCAATTTGTTTATGCCGCAAACTAAAGCAAACCAAGCAAAAGTTGAAGCGGTGATTGCAAGTATTATTGCCGAAGAAAACCAAACACTGCTTGGCTGGCGAGATGTGCCAGTGGACAATAGCAATATCGCAGATGCAGCCCGTGCGGTTGAGCCATGCATGCGCCAAGTGATTATAGGTAGCAAGGCTGCCGACCAAAACACTTTTGAACGTAAATGCTTTGTGATTCGTAAGCGTATTGAACATGCGGTAACTGCCTTGAAGTTGCAAGATAACGCACAATTCTACGTCCCATCATTGTCAAGCCGCACTATTGTTTATAAAGGCATGTTGTTAGCAAATGAAGTGGGTGTTTATTACCAAGATTTGGTTGATGAGAGCGTGGTTTCAGCACTTGCCTTAGTGCATCAGCGTTTTTCAACCAACACATTCCCCGCTTGGGATTTAGCACACCCTTTCCGTATGATTGCGCACAATGGTGAAATTAACACTGTGCAAGGCAATGTCAACTGGATGGCAGCGCGCCACGAGACGATGAAGTCTGCCGTGATTGGCGAAGATTTAGAAAAACTTTGGCCTTTAATCGCAGAAGGTCAATCAGACTCCGCTTGTTTTGATAATTGTTTAGAGCTTTTGGTTGCGGGTGGTTATAGCTTGCCACATGCCATGATGATGTTGATTCCTGAAGCGTGGAGTAACAATGCGTTGATGGATGAAGAGCGTCGCGCATTTTATGAATATCACGCCGCCTTAATGGAGCCGTGGGATGGCCCAGCGGCTGTTGCATTTACCGATGGGCAAATGATTGGCGCAACGTTAGACCGTAACGGCTTGCGCCCAGCGCGTTATTTGGTTACAGACGACGATATTGTGATGATGGCCTCTGAAATGGGCGTGTTGACTTTTCCCCAAGAAAAAATCATTAAAAAATGGCGTTTGCAACCGGGCAAAATGTTGCTAATTGATACTGTGCAAGGGCGCATTATTGATGACGGTGTAGTTAAAACGCAAATCTCAACCGCAAAGCCATACAAACAATGGATTGCGCAATCTCGCTATCATTTAAGTGATTTGCCCAAAGTAGAATCAACACTTCAACTAACCGAGAGTTTGTTAGATACGCAACAAGCGTTTGGTTATACGCAAGAAGATTTAAAATTTGTACTGCAACCCATGATTGCCAATGGTGAAGAAGGCGCTGGCTCTATGGGTAACGACGCGGCATTAACCGTGTTGTCAAACAAAGCCAAGCCACTTTATAATTACTTTAAGCAATTATTTGCGCAAGTCACTAATCCGCCGATTGACCCGATTCGTGAAGAGTTGGTGATGTCTTTAGTGACATTTATTGGCCCCAAACCAAATTTATTGGCGATAGATGAAACCAACCCGCCAGTGCGTTTAGAGGCTAGCCAGCCCATTTTAACGCTAGAAGAGTTAGAGCAGCTTAAAAATATAGGCGAAGCAACAAAAGGCCAATATCAATCCTTAGTATTAGATATTACTTATGATGCGGCTTTAGGCAAAGCAGGCATGGCAAATGCCATTGCCAGCATTAACCAAACAGCAGAAAATGCCGTGCGTAGCGGCATTAATGTGTTGATATTATCTGATAGAGCAGTTGCGACTAATCGTATTGCCATTCCAGCTTTACTAGCTTGTTCATCATTACATGAGCATTTGGTTAAAACTGGTTTACGTACTAGCACAGGCTTGGTGGTGGATACTGGCTCTGCACGTGAGGTGCATCATTTTGCTTTATTAGCTGGCTATGGTGCAGAAGCTGTTTGCCCTTGGCTCACTTTTAAAACCATAGGAAATATTGCGGCAGATGCCTATTTGGCGAATAAAAACTTTATTAAAGCCATTGGTAAAGGCTTATATAAAGTGATGTCAAAAATGGGTATTTCAACCTATCAGTCTTATTGCGGTGCGCAGATTTTTGAGGCGATAGGTTTAAACAGTGCTTTTATTGCACAATATTTCACAGGTACGGTTTCTCAGATAGAGGGCATTGGTTTGAATGAGGTCGCAGAAGAAACAATGCGGCTACATAATTTGGCCTTTGGAAATGACCCTGTATTAGCCAATGCGTTAGATGCGGGTGGCGAATATGCATTTCGCGTACGTGGTGAAGAGCACATGTGGACACCAGAGTCCATTTCCAAATTACAAAATGCAACGCGTACAGGTAAATACGAAACTTATAAAGAATACGCCAGACTGATTAACGACCAAACACGTCGTCACATGACACTGCGCGGTTTATTTGAAATTAAACCTGCAAAAGCGGCAATTGCTTTGGATCAAGTAGAGTCAGCAAAAGATATAGTTAAACGCTTTGCTACTGGCGCGATGTCATTAGGTTCAATTTCTACCGAAGCGCATGCTACCTTGGCAATTGCCATGAACCGAATTGGTGGTAAATCAAACACGGGTGAGGGTGGTGAAGACGCGAAGCGTTTTATTCCGATTGCGCAAGATAGCACAATGGCTGAAGTGATAGGTAGAGATTTAATTGAAGCTGATATTGCCCTTAAAGCTGGAGACTCTATGCGCTCTCGCATTAAGCAAGTGGCCTCTGGTCGGTTTGGTGTGACAGCGGATTATTTGGCTTCTGCTGACCAAATCCAAATTAAAATGGCGCAAGGCGCAAAGCCTGGTGAGGGCGGCCAGTTGCCTGGTCATAAAGTGTCACCCTATATTGCGAAATTGCGCTTTTCAGTGCCAGGAGTGGGCTTAATTTCACCACCACCACACCATGATATTTACTCGATTGAAGATTTGGCGCAGCTGATTCATGATTTAAAAAATGCCAACCCAAAAGCATCTATTTCTGTGAAATTGGTGTCTGAAACAGGCATTGGTACAGTTGCGGCTGGCGTGGCAAAAGCAAAATCAGACCATATTGTAGTGGCTGGCCATGATGGCGGAACTGGTGCTTCACCGATTTCTTCAGTAAAACATGCTGGCACACCTTGGGAGCTCGGCTTGGCTGAAACCCAACAAACCTTAGTGTTGAATCAACTTCGCGGCCGCGTCATCGTGCAGGTGGATGGTCAAATTAAAACTGGCCGAGATGTTGTGATTGGTGCTTTATTAGGTGCTGATGAGTTCGGTTTTGCTACAGCTCCGCTAGTGGTTGAGGGTTGTATTATGATGCGTAAATGTCATCTCAATACTTGCCCAGTAGGTGTGGCAACACAAGACCCTGAATTACGCAAAAAATTTACAGGCCAGCCTGAGCACGTGGTGAATTACTTCTTCTTTGTGGCTGAAGAGGTGCGTGAACTCATGGCTAGCATGGGGATTGCGAAATTTGATGATTTAATTGGTCGCGCTGATTTGCTGAATATGCAAGCGGGCATTGAACATTGGAAAATTCAAGGGTTAAACTTTGATAAAGTGTTTCATCAGCCCGATATGCCAGCCAGTGTTTCACGTAAAAATAACGATGTGCAAGACCACGGGCTAAAAAATGCGCTAGATAATCAGCTTGTAGATTTAGCTAAAACGGCTTTGGAAACTGGCAAAAAAGTCGTGTTAGACATCCCAATTACCAATACCAACCGTACGGTCGGTACGATGCTGTCGAACCAAGTAGCAACCCGCTACGGTAATGCAGGTTTACCAAACAATACCATCACGGTGAACTTCACGGGCACATCAGGGCAAAGTTTCGCAGCCTTTTTGGCTAAAGGCATAACTTTTAACTTGACTGGCGAAGGCAATGATTATGTTGGTAAAGGCCTGTGTGGCGGACGTATAGTGATTAAACCGCCTGTCGCTTTTAGAGGTGTACCGCATGAAAACATTATTATTGGTAATACGGTCATGTATGGTGCTACTACAGGCGAAGCTTATTTTAATGGCGTAGCGGGTGAGCGCTTCTGTGTGCGAAACTCTGGCGCATCTGCAGTGGTTGAAGGTGTAGGTAACCACGGTTGTGAATATATGACAGGTGGCACAGTGGTTGTGCTTGGAACCACGGGTCAAAATTTTGCGGCGGGCATGAGTGGTGGTGTGGCTTATGTATATGATGAAGATGGCATGTTTGCTAAACGTTGCAATATGAGCATGGTGAACTTAGAACATGTCATTGCGGCAGAAGCAGATATTGGCAAAATACAACATTTAAATCAGCCAGATGAAGTCACATTAAAATCGTTAATAGAAAATCATGCAGACTACACAGGTAGCGCACGGGCTAAAGCCTTGTTGGCTGACTGGCAAGTATCACGTGCAAAATTTGTAAAGGTCATGCCAAACGAATACAAACGTGCCCTGACAGAGTTAGCGGCCGCAGCAAGTAAGGAAGCAGCATAATGGGTAAAATCACGGGATTCATGGAGTTTGAGCGTCTTTCTGAGGCTAATTTGCCTGTGGTAGAGCGTAAAAAAAACTATAAAGAGTTTGTGTTACATTTAAGCGACGATGAGGCCAAACAGCAAGGCGCGCGCTGTATGGACTGCGGCATTCCATTTTGCACAACGGGTTGCCCAATTAACAATATTATTCCTGATTGGAATGATTTGGTTTATCAGCAAAATTGGCGTGCTGCGATTGATGTATTGCACTCTACCAATAACTTTCCAGAATTTACTGGTCGCATTTGCCCCGCCCCTTGTGAGGCTGCGTGTACGCTTAATATCAATAATGATGCAGTAGGTATTAAATCAATTGAGCATGCGATTATTGATAAAGCGTGGGAAAATGATTGGGTTACACCGCAAGTTAACCCTAATAAAACGGGCAAAAAAATAGCCATTGTAGGCTCAGGCCCTGCTGGTTTGGCGGCTGCACAACAATTAGCACGGGCTGGCCACAGTGTTGTAGTGCTTGAAAAAAATAGCCGCATTGGTGGTTTATTACGTTATGGCATTCCTGATTTTAAAATGGAAAAAACCCATATTGACCGCCGCATGGTACAAATGCAAGTTGAAGGTGTTGAGTTTAAGGTCAACCAACATGTGGGTGAAAATATAGAAGCCGATGATTTGCTAGCAGAATTTGATGCAGTGTTATTGGCAGGTGGCGCCGAACAACCACGTGATTTGCAGGTGTCGGGTCGTGAGCTAGCTGGTGTACATTTTGCGATGGATTTTTTAACACCGCAAAATAAAGTAAACGCTGGTGACGTGATTGAAAACCAAATTAAAGCCACAGGAAAAAAAGTGGTCGTGATTGGTGGTGGTGATACTGGCTCAGATTGCGTAGGCACATCAAATCGCCAAGGTGCGCTCAGTGTTGTACAACTAGAGGTGAACACAAAACCACCGACACAAGAAAATAAATCAATCGTTTGGCCAAATTGGCCGATGAAATTGCGCACATCAAGCTCGCATGATGAAGGATGTGAGCGTGATTGGTCAGTGATGACCAAAGAGCTTGTTGGTGAAAATGGCCAAGTGACAGGCATTAAAGCTGTACGCTTAGAGTGGACTGATGGAAAAATGAGCGAAATAGCGGGCTCAGAGTTTATTATCCCTGCAGATTTAGTGTTTTTAGCGATGGGTTTTATGTCACCAGTCCAAAAGCTATTAGACGTATTTGGCATAGAAAAAGACCAACGGGGTAATGCCAAAGCTACAACAGAAGGCGCAGATAGCTATAAAACCAGCAAAGCTAAAGTGTTTGCCGCAGGTGATGTGCGTCGTGGTCAGTCGCTTGTGGTATGGGCAATTCGTGAAGGGCGTCAAGCCGCGCGTGCGGTAGATGAATTTTTAATGGGTAGTTCTACTTTACCACGTTAATTTTATTATGCTAGAAAGAAAATAAGGATGCAAAGTGATTTAACTTGCATCCTTTTTTATTAGGAACAACAATGACAGCACTTAAAAACGATACTTTTCTTCGCGCTTTGATGCGCCAACCCACTGATTACACTCCAGTGTGGATGATGCGCCAAGCGGGGCGTTATTTACCAGAATATCGTGAAAGTCGCAAAACAGCGGGAAGTTTTTTGCAGCTGTGCAAAAATGCGCAATTTGCTACTGATGTGACGCTGCAGCCGCTTGATCGCTATCCACTACTGGACGCGGCGATTTTGTTTTCAGATATTCTCACCGTGCCCGATGCAATGGGACTGGGCTTGTATTTTGAAGAGGGCGAGGGCCCAAAGTTTGAGCGTACTTTGCAGTTGGAAGCTGATATTCAAAAACTAACCGTGCCAGATATGGCCAAACTGCAATATGTGTTTGATGCGGTGAGCAACATCCGCAAAGCGCTCAATGGCCGCGTGCCGCTGATTGGTTTTTCAGGTAGCCCTTGGACGCTGGCAACCTACATGGTAGAAGGCAAAGGTGGTACGGACTTTTTAAATACAAAAAAATTGGCTTATGCACGGCCTGAATTATTGCACCATATTTTAGAAGTCACTGCGCAAACGGTGATTCAATATCTCAATGCGCAAATTGCCGCAGGCGCACAAGCTGTGATGATTTTTGACTCCTGGGGTGGCGCGCTTTCGCACAATGCTTACACTGAATTTTCACTCAACTACATGCAAAAAATTGTGGCAGGCTTAACCAAAAATGCCGAGGGCAAAAAAGTGCCAAGCATTGTGTTCACTAAAGGTGGTGCTTTGTGGCTTGAAGCGCAAGCGGAAATTGGCGCTGATGCGCTAGGGCTAGATTGGGCGGTGGACATTGGTAGCGCGCGCAAACGCGTGGGTGATAAAGTGGCGCTGCAAGGTAATTTAGACCCCGCGATTTTGCTATCAACGCCAGAAGCGATAGAAAAAGAAGTGGCGAGCGTGCTGGCAAGCTATGGCAAAGGCAGTGGACATGTATTTAATTTAGGCCATGGTATTACGCAATGGACGCCACCAGAGAATGCCGCCGCTATGCTAGAAGCAGTGAGAAAACATAGTCTGCAATATCACCAATAAACAGCATTAAAAACACACGACAAAAATTAAATGCTCTGTAAGCCAGTATCCATGCGGCTTGCAGAGCATTGAAATGATGTGGTGTTTAAAATGGTGCATTTAAAACAAAAAAGCCTTTCAAATTCGAAAGGCTTTTTTTCTCAATATTTATCGTAACGACATGCGTTTCATGGTGCCATCTTTATCAATAAACTTGTGTTTTAACGCGCCTAGCGAGTGCAGTAAAATAGTGAGTAAAAATACAAAGCCGACAGCTTCATGCACTTCTTTAAATAACTCGCGCGCGTCTTTGTTATCCAGTCCGCCAACTAAATCCAAGCCAAACCACATCACACCGTATTTGCTGTTAATGGCCATGATAAAACCAGTAAGCGGCATGGCAATCATCAGCAAATACAAAAAATGATGTGTGCCAGTGGCAAGTTTGCGCTCCCACGCTTTGTATGAAGTGAGCATGGCAGGTGGCGTGTGTTTAATGCGCCAAAAAACGCGAAATAAAATGAGGCCGAATAGGGTGATGCCAATAGACTTATGTAAATTAAAATAAAATGTTCTTGGGCTAGCTGCTTCGGCAACATTCCAATGAATAATGCCCATATTAAAAACATCAAAAGTGGCTTGTTTCGCGGCATCTTTGGGGATTTCGTGCATAAACCAACCCAAAAAAAACATAAAGAAAATGATGAGTGCAATTAACCCGTGCAAAATAACGGCCGTTTTTGTATAGCGTGTTAAAGCTGAATTCATAGTATGATTCCCACAGGATATTTTGAGTAATGTGACCGTCGTCACAACCGATTGTTGCATAAGCGGGCATCATTTTAATCAATAAACCAAGCTAAGGGAAAGTTTCATGCATAAACTAATGATAATCATGAGTGCGTTGGCTATATTTGGCTGCGCGCATGCCCAACCAACAGCAAAAGCACCTGAAGATTTTAATATTGAAAGCGTAGGTGAGGGCATTTACGTGCATCACGGCGCACATTTAGATATTGATGAAGGCTATAAAGGCGATATTTGCAACGCCAGCTTTATTGTGGGTAGCAAGGGCGTGGCGGTGATTGATACTGGCGGTAGCTTAAAAGTAGGGCAACAATTGCGCGAAGCGATTCGTAAAGTGACACAACTGCCAGTGTTATATGTGATTAATACCCATGTTCACCCAGACCATGTATATGGCAATGCGGCATTTCTTGAGGATAAACCGCAATTTGTCGGACATGAAAAATTAGCGAACGCCATGCAAACACGTGAAGAACAATACGCAAAACTCAACGCACGTTTGCTGGGAGAAGATGCCAAAGGTTCTGATTTGGTCAAACCCACCATCAGCGTAAAAACCACCTTAGAGCTAGATTTAGGCGATAGAAAGTTAGTGCTCACTGCGCACCCCACAGCGCATACCAATACCGATTTATCGCTTGTTGACGGCAAAACCAATACCTTATTTGCAGGCGATTTACTTTTTATTGAGCGCACGCCCGTAGTAGAAACCGATATTAAAGGCTTGATTGCCGAGCTAGAAAAATTTAAATCTGGCGAAACAAAACAAGTGGTGCCAGGTCACGGCTCTGTCACTAAAAACTGGCTAGGCGCAATTAACGATGCGCAACGCTATTTAAATGCTTTGCTGGCAGATGTGCGAGCAAGTATTAAAAAAGGTGAGAGTATGGAATCCGCAATGAGCACTGCAGCAGCGGGTGAAAAAGATAAATGGCTACTATTTGAGATTGCAAACAGGCGCAATGTGAATACGATTTACCCAGCGTTAGAGTGGGAATAAAAGCCAATAAAAAACAGCTAAAAATAGCTGTTTTTAAGCGAACATCATTTGATATGCTCTGTAAGCCAACAACCATGCGGCTTCCAGAGCATTGATTTTTTCTCGGGGGAAAGTATAAGGTTTTACTTCTTTAAACTATCCAAGCTAAAAGCAGTTTTGTGAT